CCCGGGGTCAGCATGGTAGATTATCAAGTTATGTGTATTTGAAATAGGCTGTATGCGAGATCTGCGAAGCCTATTTCGGTTGGCTGCCCTTGGCGAGAACAATTTTCCGCCGCAAACAAGTGAACATTTCGCACTCACCAATCCTGCGAATCCCACCAACCCAAAGCGACAAATGTGTCGCACACATCCTCTCTCACACATCCTCTCTTGCATCGAGCATGGAAAGTGTTGCTCACCCGAAGTCACCTCACCACTGAATCAGCTCGATGCTAACGGGAAATAGAAAAACTGAGCAAGCAAAGCACGTGCAGGTTATCAACGCCACCTACTCAACGCCACAACAGAAACGTGTTCGAGACGATCCTTACCCCAGATTACTTGGGTAACGACCATCGCAGGAGCTGGCAACAGCAAAGTGTAGGAACGTGCAAGCGCGATTGCACTAACGGGAAGAAGGTCGTGATGACAGACTGGAGACTACGAGTAGCTAGGCACAACAAGAAACGACGAGTGTATTGGAGTCGTTGTGACTAGCCAGGGGGAAGAAAGCGGACTAGATTCGGCTCGCGCACCAAGCGCCGAGCAGCACTCGCTCGCCACATTTAGCTGCTCGCGTTCTGTGCGACGCGGAGCCCGCATTCCTCGCGACGCGGAGCCCGCATTCCTCGCGACGCGGATCTCGCATTTCAGGCGGATCTGATCCCGCCCTCCAGTCGACGCGGAGCCCGCGTTCCAGACGACGCGGAGCCCGCGTTCCCGGCGACGAGAAGCGCGCCCTCCAGGTGACCTGGCTACAACCACCGCGCGCACAACTAAAGCGGATACTGCGGAGTGACGGGGAGCAAGGTGCAGCACATGCCCCTGCGGATCGCTACAGAGGATAGCCCAGGTGAGTGCCCATTTCTCTGCTACTGCTACTATAGTACAGCGACAATGGTCGCTGCTGCCTTGAGGGTCCTATCGCGCTCACGTGTCACGAGGCAAAGGCACACAGCTGCAACCAGAGTTGCTGCTGCCTTGGGCTTGCTTTCACCACTGTAAACCCACCTGTTCTGTCCCAAGGCAGCAGCATCTCTGGATGCTGTTGCCTTGGGCCTGGTTTCAGCATTGTAAACCCACCTGTTCTGTCCCAAGGCAGCAGCAACCGTGGATGCTCCTGCCTTGGGCCTGGTTTCAGCACCATGCCTCCACCTGTTCAGTCCCCAGGCAGCAACAACCAGAGTTGCTACTGCCTTGGGCTTGCTTTCACCACTGTAAACCCACCTGTTCTGTCCCAAGGCAGCAGCACCTCTGGATGCTGCTGCCTTGGGCCTGGTTTCAGCACCATGCCTCCACCTGTTCAGTCCCCAGGCAGCAACAACCAGAGTTGCTACTGCCTTGGGCTTGCTTTCACCACTGTAAACCCACCTGTTCTGTCCCAAGGCAGCAGCACCTCTGGATGCTGCTGCCTTGGGCCTGGTTTCAGCACCATGCCTCCACCTGTTCAGTCCCCAGGCAGCAACAACCAGAGTTGCTACTGCCTTGGGCTTGCTTTCACCACTGTAAACCCACCTGTTCTGTCCCAAGGCAGCAGCACCTCTGGATGCTGCTGCCTTGGGCCTGGTTTCAGCACCATGCCTCCACCTGTTCAGTCCCCAGGCAGCAACAACCAGAGTTGCTACAGCCTTGGGCTTGCTTTCACCATTTAAACACACCTGTTCAGTCCCAAGGCAGCAGAAACCGTGAATGCTGCTGCCTTGGGCCTGGTTTCAGCACCATGCCTCCACCTGTTCAGTCCCCAGCCAGCAACAACCAGAGTTGCTACTGCCTTGGGCTTGCACGGAACCACTGTAAACCCACCTGTTCAGTCCCAAGGCAGCAGCAACTTTGGATGCTGCTGCCTTGGGCTTGCTTTCACCATTGTAAACCCACCTGTTCAGTCCCAAGGCAGCAGCAACTTTGGATGCTGCTGCCTTGGGCCTGGTTTCAGCACCATGCCTCCACCTGTTCAGTCCCCAGGCAGCAACAACCAGAGTTGCTGCTGCCTTGGGCTTGCTTTCACCACTGTAAACCCACCTGTTCAGTCCCAAGGCAGTAGCAACTCTGGATGCTGCTGCCTTGGGCTTGCTTTCACCATTTTAAACCCACCTGTTCAGTCCCAAGGCAGCAGCAACTTTGGATGCTGCTGCCTTGGGCCTGGTTTCAGCACCATGCCTCCACCTGTTCAGTCCCCAGGCAGCAACAACGAGAGTTGCTACTGCCTTGGGCTTGCTTTCACCAATGTAAACCCACCTGTTCTGTCCCAAGGCAGCAACAACCGTGGATGCTGCTGCCTTGGGCCTGGTTTCAGCACCATGCCTCCACCTGTTCAGTCCCCAGGCAGCAACAACCAGAGTTACTGCTGCCTTGGGCTTGCTTTCACCACTGTAAACCCACCTGTTCTGTCCCAAGGCAGCAGCAGCTTTGGATGCTGCTGCCTTGGGCTTGCTTTCACCATTGTAAACCCACCTGTTCAGTCCCAAGGCAGCAGCATCTCTGGATGCTGCTGCCTTGGGCCTGGTTTCAGCACCATGCCTCCACCTGTTCAGTCCCCAGGCAGCAACAACCAGAGTTGCTGCTGCCTTGGGCTTGCTTTCACCACTGTAAACCCACCTGTTCAGTCCCAAGGCAGCAGCAACTTTGGATGCTGCTGCCTTGGGCTTGCTTTCACCACTGTAAACCCACCTGTTCTGTCCCAAGGCAGCAGCATCTCTGGATGCAGCTGCCTTGGGCCTGGTTTCAGCACCATGCACCCACCCGTTCAGTCCCCAGGCAGCAGCAACCAGAGTTGCTGGTGCTTTGGGCCCTTTCTCTATTGCGTGCACTCACCGCTCGGTGCTGCATGACGTGCATTTGCACATTTCTGCAGGCATCTATAGATGCCCTAATCCTTGTCCCTGCTGTGCCAACGCCCTAACCACCCATTTCCTTCCTCTCCTCGGGGTATGCGCTGACATGGTTTCAGATGGCAGGGGTTGGTGTAGGTGCGGGAGGGCATCCTGCAATACAAGCATGTAAGGATGCCCAGAGAGGAACGGTCAATATTTCGGTCCACATGCGGCCACTTTTGTGTGTTCTCCGCGTCGGGCTCTCGGCATTGTACCTTGGGGACACGATGGCGACGACAGATGATGTGATTCACTTTTTGGTTGAGTCAGCACCCCAAGCGACCAACCGACTTATTGAGGCGGGCCTAGCAGCAGGTATGACACAAGGTTTGGGCGAGCATGTGATGTGTGCATGATCTGAAGTGCTGGTTGTCTTTCTATCGAATGTCCTACACCTGTGAAATGTATCACATGCCTGAACATTCTCTGCCTGCACATTCTCTGCCTAACAGATCCTGCTTCAAACGACACTCATACCGGCGTAATTGTGGAAAGACATCGAAAAGAGTACGGCCGCATATTCAAAGAACGCGCGAAAGGAACTATGGAGGATGTAGTAGCCCTGCATCAACGGCCCAATCGAGTGCTGGCCGGGCTTAGATACTCCTTCCCACTGGTGCAGTATGATGCGCGCGGAAGACTGCGACAGGTTTCCGGTCGATCATGGGGAGGCGCTTGCAGCGACGTGTAATTCAGGTAAGATTTGGAAGATGCATATGAAGTTGGCTTGTTTTGGACGTGAGTAATAAACGACGTCCCGTCCACACTCCCAATACGTTTCAGGGGCCAACCATGGAGGGAGTGGCAACGTCATGGGGACCGAACTGCCAGATGCGCCAGCCGTAGGCACTGTGGGCATGGATGCTGATGAGGGCGTTTCCGGAGTGCCCAGAGATACTGGGGTGGCTGCGCCTGCACGAAGTGTGACGACGACTCCAGAACGGCCAGTGCAAGGGTGAGAGTAGTGGGTGCGGTGGCTACATATGGCAAAATGTCATTGTGCACTATCAAACACGTCGTTGTATCCATGTCCAAACTCCCCTCCTCTTTATGTCCACTAGGCCTGCCAACAGCCACCGACAAGCAGTTGCGCGTGGGAGTGTCCCTAGGCACTGGCCTTCTGCTCCGAGCGTGGATGACATCGACGGACAACGGGTATGTCTTGTCGAGCCTCGACAGTTGGTTGGGTTCTTCCAAGGGTGTCGATTGGTGTGTTCACATGAGCAAGCGTGTAGTGAGGGGATGACATTGAGGTCATGGAAGTTCTCATGGGCATCGGTCGGCATGTTTTGGAGATGCGACGCGTGTTCGCATGGTGTAGAGTTTTGGTCATGTCCGAGCCGGCGTATCGAGAGAGCACGAACCGGTGTAGGCGCGCATTCTCCGATTCTACAGTCGAAATTTGTCGGGGCATTTGCTTTAGCCGGAATGGGGTATCAGCAAATGTGGGAGTTTTGTCGCAACGTCGGCTTGCCAGCACCAGGGAAGGGCACATTTTACAAGTACCTTGGTGATGATAATGGGTTATGGAATGCTATATTGAGAGAGGCTGATAAGTCTATGGCTGCGGTACGAGAAGAGATGATGAAGCGAGAAATCCCTACAGAATATGTAGTGGTCGATGGTCGATGGTCACATATCCGTGAGGGAGAGTGGTGTACAGTATCGTTTTTAGATTTGCCGTCCAGAAAGATAGTGTACTGTGCGGCGACACGAAAAGGGGTGGACGACACTTCTTCGGTGCGACAGGAAAGGGTGGCTTTCGATAAAGGGTTAGATGAACTGGCGCAGAAAGGGTTTACGGTAGAAGGGATCATCTCCGACCAAGGGACTACTTTTCGTGGGGCAGCGTCCGAAAGGGGGTTGAACCACCAGGTGGACTGGTGGCATGTAAAGCGGACGCTTTACAAGTTATTTCTGAAAGAACTTCAGGATGCGGTCCGTGCACCAGTGGCTGTGGACAAGGCGACCTGTATTGAGGATCTATGGCTTGCGACTATCGCTGGGCTACGGCAATGGCTGACAGCACGGGGGTTGGAGAAAGAGTCAAAAGCTTCACTGAAAGGGGACTTGGTGGAAGCCGTTTGTAAAGCCATGGGCACGATTGTTTACCGGAAGATGACCCTGGAAGAGGCGAAATGGAAGTTTCCCGAGCTAAGAAAGGTGGTGCGGATGGGGGGGGAGTGTAGCCCGGTGGAGGTGCCTGTGACCTACGGCGAGGTGCCTGGTGCTTCTGATGCCGATGTGCGGGAGCGGGATGAGGGAGCTGAGCGGGCTACCGTGGATAGGCCGACACCGGAGGAGTGGAACGTTGACGTTCAATGGGAAGATGTGGAAGAGCTATGGAGTTATGATGTGCACCCGACGCAGGGTGCGCGACCGACATCTTTGGCGAGCACCCTCATCATGCTTGTGCACGCTGGCGCAAACGGAAACTCCCATTTCATCGGTGGATCCACTTCTTGGGCCAACACCGACACGGAGACTGGTATGCATACACCCTTTACCAAGTTTTGGGCATGCTTGATCCAAGTGCTACTCTATACTCAGTTTTCGTATTTCATTTTCTAACATTCACAGATGCGCTAGATGGAGTCGAGGCTGATACCGAAGTGCAGAACCCTAATGCGTTCAGCGAGCCCAAGACACTACCTCGGTGGACTGGTTGCCGAAAGCGGAAACGAGGTGAAGATCATATCGATTATGGCAAGGAGGAACAAACTGTGGCACAACGCTTATCCTCTCATTTCTATCACGTGATGGTGCGATGTGGTGCGAAGAAGAAAGAGGGGCATCCTATGACCCTGGCCGACGTGGCGAGGGAGCTTGGGAGCCCACCCAACCACTGGGCCGCTGACCACTCCGGCTGCACTGGGGTAGGAGAGACCCCACCTCGCTGCGTCAGAGAGGGGTGGGGCAAGGACCATGCCATATATGAGTTTGGGTCGTCGACACACAAGGCGGTTTGTGCATGGTTCTCCAAGCACTTAAGCTCTGAGAAGGTTAAGTCCTTTGTGCATGGCGTGTCGAGTTCTCTGAACGAGTCTTTCCATTCTTTGATCATCAAATACGCACCTAAGCGGATACGGTTTCAGGACAGCTTCCCGGCACGAGTCGGTCTCGCGGTTCTTCATTGGAATCACGGCATGGATCGCCTGGTGACCGCCTATCGCACTAGAGTCCGACAGGTGACGAGGATCAGGCGCGGATCCAAGGAGCGCATCTTGACTAAAATGGATTGGGCTTGGGTTGATCGCATCATGGAGGAATGGCAACGAACACTGCGGCATGGAGATACTGTGGATGTTGACGAGATGCCTGAATCAACAGCAACGACTGCGCAGCTGGTCGATGCATCGATCGCACAGCCCATAGCATCTGTTCTTGAGCCAATGACACCAGTGCGCCAAGGCGGGTTCGGTCCGGTGTGCGGCACGTCTCGTGGATCTGCTCGCCGTCGTTTGGGTAAGCAACGGCAGCGCAACGTGAGTTGTTATTGCTCAGTATGGCTCATACTCGACGTAAACATTCTAGCCAGCGTAATGTGTTCACCATTCGCGTCTTCCAACCCATCTGTATGTTGCTTATAGGTGATGTGTCGAACCTCCCACGCTAAGTGCCCAAGGCGAATATCAGGCGAGCTTTCAAACCCCCGCGAGGCTTGCTCGGCATCACGCAGAACCACCACGACGCCCACCACGACAATCGACCCCCCCAAAGGTATTTGACAAACACCCATCGCCCACCATGCTATAACTTGGCCTGCTCAGATCTCCCATTCCCTACCATGCCCTGTTTGGTCTCGCCTCGATCTTGTCTACTCCACCTCGGCATGCCACTCCCCATCTTCCCTGTCCTGCCCCGCACCTCCTTTCCCTGCTCCAACTAAACATGCCATGCTATTCCAGGAGATGCCCTGCCCTGCCATGCCCTGTCATGCCCTACCCTGCCCTGCCCTCCCCTGCCCTGCCCTGCCCTGCCCTGTCATGCCCTGACCTGCCCTGCCCTGCCCTGCCATGTCCTGCCCTGCAATGCCCTGTCCCGCCCCGCCCCGCCCTTGTCAGCACCCTCATTTTTCTGCGATGCCATGACTAGAGGGGCCATGCCTGCCCTGCTTTCTCATGGCCCGCCCTGCCCTTGTCTGCACCATCCGCGTCATGCCATGCCTCTCCCATGCCATGCCATGCCCTGCCCTGCCCTCCCCTGTCATGCTCCGCTCCGCCCTTCTCCCTCCCCCCCTCCAGGCATGCCCTGCCATGCTCTGCGGTTGAGATTATTCATAGCTACAGGGACACCACTCTAAATTCTGGCTTATCCTCCTTCTCATTGGCTATAGCTGCAGGTTACCATTGTGAGAGGGATAAGGTGGAATTGCCATCGGATCAAGTGGATGATGTGGCAGACGCAGTGATAAAAGATGCGGAGGAGTGGAGCGACGATAGTGATGAGTGGTGGCTAGCAGGCCACTATGACGGGGAGGAAGTGGAGGTGTGGGTGGCAGGTCAGGATGAATAAATGGGGTTGTGTTTCCATCCCCACTGTGCTAATTTGGTCTTGAACATGTCATGCTTGAATGTGTGTGGAGGACTATGCCGTTCTGTCCTAAACCTAATCATGCTTCTTTGCGAAATAAACTTGCACATATTATAGTTGCAATATACGTTACACGTGCGGATGAAGTTAGCCCGGTGAAACTACTCCATTGCTTCGATTCTTGAGACCCTAATCCAGCTCATGTTCCATTCTTCCTAGGGCACTAGCTTGTTTGGTATCCCAAAAAGGATACATCCATGATGATGTGTAACAGTTATCTTACTCCAAAGGTGTCAGTGCCCAGCTCTGTTGGCACTTTATTGCAAATTATTGCCAAGGTAACCACTTGGCATCCAATGTACACTACTTCAGGATGGCTTATACTTGCATTTCACAAGGACCTCGTTCACAATGCGCAGTGAAGTGAGCCACAGTACTGGAATCGACACACCAGTTAGCCTGCCAACACATGGCAGATGCATGGGTGGGATAGAAGGCGCACGACTTGAGGGCTCAAAATTTTACCGGTAGTAGCTCAGAGTAGGAGCAGACGAACCAGTGGCAGCTATAGGATCTCTGGAGGGACTTGCTGCTGCTCTTGAAGCAGAAAAGCAGGAGTGCAAGGGCTGACAGCAGCGGTGCAAGGGCTGACAGCAGGGGTGCAAGGGCTGACAGCAGGGGTGCAAGGGTGGAAAGCAGGGGTGCAAGGGTGGAAAGCAGGGGTGCAAGGGGGAGAAGCAGGGGTGCAAGGGTGGGAAGCTGGGGTGCAAGGGTGGGAAGCAGGGGTGCAAGGGCGGAAAGCAGGGGTGCAAGCGTGGGAAGCAGTGCATAGGTGGAAAGCGGGACCAGACGAAACAGTGACAATTTGAATTCACATTAGCGGTGGGTATTTCAGGAGTGGGTGATATGAAGGGAGTGGGAAGTTTGGAACGAGGGTGTAGGGATATGAGAGGAGCAGGGGGTATGAGGGGACTGTGGGGTATGAGAGGAGTTGGGCGTACGAGGGGAGTGCGGGGTATGAGAGGAATGGGGAGTATGAGAGGAGTGGGGGGAGTCCACTGTATGGAATGAGTGGGGGGTATGAGAGGAGTGGGGAGTATGAAAGGAGTGGGGGGTATGAGAGGAGTGGGGAGTATGAAAGGAATGGGGGGTATGAGAGGAGTGGGGAGTATGAAAGGAGTGGGGGGTATGAGAGGAGTGGGGAGTATGAAAGGAGTGGGGGGTATGAGAGGAGTGGGGAGTATGAAAGGAATGGGGGGTATGAGAGGAGTGGGGAGTATGAAAGGAGTGGGGGGTATGAGAGGAGTGGGGAGTATGAAAGGAGTGGGGGGTATGTTGCAGCATGCCGCTGGTCACTGAGATTGCACACAAGTCAGTGAGATTGCACACAAGTCAGTGAGATTGCACACAAGTCACTGAGATTGCACACAAGTCTGCTGCGCTCCTGTTGCGCGTGCGTCCCCCCTTTTCTTTGCGATTGTACATGGGGAGGGAGAGGATGGGGGGGGAAGCAGGGAAGGGGATGGGGGGAAGCAGGGAAGGGGATGGGGGGAAGCGGGGAAGGGGATGGGGGGAAGCAGGGAAGGGGATGGGGGGAAGCAGGGAAGGTGATGGGGGGAAACAGGGAAGGGGATTGGGGGAAACAGGGAAGGGGATGGGGGGAAAGTAGGGAAGGGGATGGGGGGAAGCAGGGCAGGGGATGGGGGGAAGCAGGGAAGGGGATGGGGGGAAGCAGGGAGGGGGATGGGGGGAAGCAGGGTAGGGGATGGGGGAAAGCAGGGAAGGGGATGGAGGGAAGCAGGGAAGGGGATGGGGGAAAGAAGGGGAGGGGACGAGGGGAAGCAGGAAGGAGGGAGGGGGGAAGCAGGAAGGAGGGAGGGGGGAAGCAAGGAGGAGGAAGGGGGGAGTGGCAGGTGAGGCAAAGGAGAATAGACTGTGGGGTAAACAGAGCTGTTGGGAGAAAGGGAGGTTGGTCAAAATAAAGAGGGGTGTAAACAAGCCTGGGGAAGTGAGGTCGACGAGGAGAGGGAGTGGGGGAAGTACCCGCTCTCACCCTCTGTCCTTCCCCCTCTGTGCCCCTCCCCCTCTTATCCTCCCCCTCCGTCCTTCCCCTTCTGTCTCCCCCCCTCTGCCCTTCACCATCTGTCACTCCACCTGTGTCCTTCCCCCTCTGTCTCTCCCCCTTTGCCCTTCCCCCTCTGTCTCTCCCCCCCTGTCCCCCCCCCTGTACCTCCCCCCTCTGTCTCTCCCCATCTGTCCTCCCCCCTCTCCCCCTTGTACTTCCCCTTCTGTCCTTCCCCTTCTTTCCTCCCCTCTGTCCCTCCCCCTCTGTCCCTCCCCCTCTGTCCCTCCCCCTCGTTCCTTCCCCTCTGTCCCTCCCCCTCTGTCCCTGCCCCTCTGTCCCTCCCCCACTATCCCTCCCCTCTCGTCCCTGCACTTTCGTCCCTACCCCTCCTTCACTCCCCCTCTTTCCCTTCCCCTCTGTCCCTCCCACTTTGTCTCTCGCCCTCTGACAAGTGGGGGGGATGCTGGTGGTGTGCGGGGGGGAAAGGAGGCGGACAAGTGGGGGGAATGCGCGTGGTGTGAGGGGGGGAAAAGGAGGCGGACAAGTGGGGGGAATGCGCGTGGTGTGAGGGGGGGAAAGGAGGCGGACAAGTGGGGGAAAATGCGCGTAGTGTGTGGGGGGGAAAGGAGGCGGACAAGTGGGGAGAATGCGCGTGGTGTGTGGGGGCCTTCGCTAACGACGGGGAGTGGCGACTTGGGTAGACATGGGCGATAAGGGGAGATGCGTGTGGATGGGGGAAACTGAGGCGACAACGGGAGGCGAGGGCGTTGAGGAGCAACGCAAGAGACGAGGGTAAGTGCGGGAGACTCGAGTAAGCGTTTCACACGCGGGAAAGAGTGCGAGACGCGGGCAGTGATGATGCGGGTAAGCGCGGGTGACCTCGGGTAAGCGCGGGTGACCTCGGGTAAGCGCGGGAAACGCGGATAAGCGCGGGTAAGTGGGGATGACACGGGTAAGCGCGGGTGACGAGGGTAAGCGCGGGTGACGAGGGTAAGCGCGGGTGTCGCTGGAGAGCGCGGGAAACGTGGGTAAGCGTGGGAAGCGCGGGTGAGCGTGGGAGACAAGGACAAGCTGGCGTGACGAGGGAAACGCTTGCGACGAGGGAAACATTGCGCGACGAGGGACGCGCGGGCGACGAGGGCATGCGCGAGTGCAGAAGCTCTCGTAACGTGGGGTTGAGGGAATCGCTAGGGAAGCACGGGCGATGAGGTGATGCACTCGCCACATACTAAGTGTGGGAGTCTGGACGAGGCGAGGATGACGCCTGAAGGCGGACTGAAGCCAAGTTTTTGTTGGGCGGGCCATGCTATGCTGGCCAATGCGTTACGGGCGTTGTATTGGAGGTAACCAGCAGCCTTAGCCGACCCATGACTGTGGTGCACTAGAACGGGTGTCTCGTCACTGGCATGCAAAAATGGTACGGTAATAGCGTGTTTGGCAAGAAGCGGGTGCTCCTCAGCTATTGGCAAGACAGCGGGAGTGACGAGAGCTGGAAGGAAAAAAACGCTTCTACCTAAACTAGCTTTTATCGCCCTGCCGCGCGTTTCTTAGTTACGTGCCTACTCTAGTGGATTAGGAGTACCACTTGGTCGTCAAGTTACGTGAGAGGTGACCACGGCAACATGGTAGGCGATGTTCGGATGTGTTGTGCGACTGGGCACAGAAACCAATCAGAAGTGACAGTCGCACTAAGTTTTCCCTGGGTCGCGAGAGTTCTTTCAAACAAAAGAGGGTAACCCTGTTTTTTACGACTTCAAGTTCAAGAATCTTGAACTTGAAAAATACCATGCTGTACTCGGGCTTTAAGATGCGCTTCGATCGACTGCGCTACACAAGGTGAGCTACAAATTTGCTAAAAATTTAAATTTATTTTAAATTGCGCGTGAACTGATCTAGGGTTTCGTTTTCATTTTCCTCTTCCTCCCTTCCTCTCGCGACTGGAGCCTTGCCTCCCGCTACTCAGGTCAGGAAACTAAGATGCCACCTAGAACTTAATTAGCTGATGTTAACATCTAAGCTCGTATTATACCGTAGTCATTTACCTACTTCAGCGCATCTCGTGGTAGCATTCAGGTCGTTGATAAGCGTGCATCCCTCTATTCATTTATTCCGTTTTCAAGCCTGTTCCCACATAGCAGTATGTCGTTTTACTTTCATTTGTTTATATCGCTTTCAAGAGCTGCAACCCATTCTGCTACGCTTTTTTGAATGGTTGCAGCTAATTCGATTGAAATGCTAGTAATGCTACGATCCTTTGATCTACTAGCTAGGTTCGTTTTAAGCTGTTGTTGATCAAATTTGATCTAATATATTGTAGCTCTTTTATTTGCTTCTGTCTCCCACGATTTGCTTGCAGGAAACGGTCGACCTCATCGTTGTCTCACTCCCTCGTCTTATTAACGGTGAGTTAGTGTTTGAACTACATATTGGGAAAGAAAGAGGGGGAGAGCAGAAGAGTGCAGAAGCTTAGACGAAAGAGAGCGTGTGAGAGAACGAAGACGAACTCTCTGTTTTTTTGTTAGAGCCGCTGGCCATTTCGACCCGTTGACTCAACGATATTCTGACGGTTAAATCAGAAGAGATAGTGGATTCTATGGCAGTAAGATTGCACACGAGACAATGGAAAAAAACATGTAGTGAATACATGAAGTCAGAATGCATTCGAACTTAAGATTAGCCTAGTTGAGGCGTGGGTGACTTTTGTGAAACAAGGAAAACAGGAATGAAATGACTATGGAAGATTGGGTACAAATACAACCCTAGAAACCCTGTACCCCATATGTGCTACCCCACTATAGCCTACAGAAACTATGTCATATAAATCTGACACACCCCCATAGGCAAAGTGGGGGAGAACAAGGGGTCACAAGACCAGTCAGGTAAAGCAAAGCAGAGCAAGCTCAGGGTGGATCACAACGTCACCACACAGTCCGAGCACAAGAGCAGGGCCAGAGGCCAGTTCACATGCAGGAGTACAGACATATATATATAGAACTAGACAAGCAAGAGCAGGTATAAATATATGTAACAGTACCAGTGAAGTCAAGAGGAGAGCAAGTGAGGCAAGACAGGCACAAGACCCAGCTGGGTGCAAAAGCGCTGATGGTCACAAGGCGCGAGTGCCTTGGTGAACACATCAGCAGTGTTGGCCTCAGAGGCCACGTACGCAAGTCGCAACTGACCACGCTGCTGCAGCTCACGAGCAAGGAAGTAGCGGAGAGCAATGTGCTTCGTTCTGTGCTCCAAGCGCTGCTCTCGACACAAGGCCAGCATGGCCTTGTTGTCTACGTACAGCACTGGAGGAGAACGAGGCGGCTCTCCAAGGTCAGTCAGCAGGTAGGTGAGCCAGCGAAGCTCCTGTGCAGCCATGGCCCCGGCGTAGATCTCAGCCTCACAACTGGAGCCGAGAACCGAAGACGAGCGAGTAGACCGCCACGAGACAGAGCCGGAACCAAGGCTGAAGGTGTAACCCTGTGACGACCGCTGCGTAGCCTGGTCGTCAGCCCAAGAAGCGTCCGCGTGGCTGGTAAGGACCACTGGACTCCGCCCTCCAAGCACTAGCCCCATGCCCGACGTGCTGCACAGGTAGCGCAATACCCTCTTCGCTGCAGCCATGTGCTCTGGTCTGTGTCTCCCAGGAGCAACATAGCGAGCAAGAATGCTCAGAGGGTATGCAAGGTCAGGTCGTGTGCAGGTCATCAGGTACATGAGGCAGCCAACAAGCTCTGCATACGGGCCACTCGACTCTACGGACTCATCCGAAGGCAGAGCTGAGAGTGAGTGGCGAGTAGGCAGAGGAGTGGCCTGAGGCGAGGAGTACGTGAAGCCGAAGCGCTGAAGGACCTGCTGCACCATGTGTGACTGAGTCAAGGTAATGGTGCGGCGTGCTCTGTCCCGAGTGATCTGCAAGCCAAGGTAGCTGCGCAGTTCACCCAGGTCTGTGCACGTGTGTCTCTTCAGCAGCTCGGACTTCACGTAGGCGAGTCCAGCAGTGTCCGCTGTGGCAAAGACCAAGTCGTCGACGTACACGAGGATGTAGAACGGCGGCAGGGAAGTGTCGGTGCGAAGAAACAGCGACGGGTCAGCAGTAGAAGGAGCAAACCCAAGGGCCGCAAGCGTAGTCCTCAGTGTGTCGTGCCACTCACGCGGTGCCTGGCGGAGACCGTAGACTGGCCGTCGGAGGCTCCACTGGGTGCCAGGAGGGAAAGTCCCAGTGAAGCCAGGTGGACGGCGAAGCCAGATCTCCTCGTGCAGGCTACCCTGCAAGAACGCAGTGCTGAAGTCGAGAGAGTGAAGCTCGTAGTCGCGCTGAGCGGCTATGTGCAGCAGCACCCGAAGAGTAGTCATCTTCGGGGTGGGAGAGAAGGTCTGAAAGTAGTCAACTCCCTGCCGCTGACTGAAGCCACGAGCAACGTACCGTGCCTTGAAGACAGGTGGAGAGCCCGGCGGCCGCTTCACCCTGAAGATCCACATGCCACTGACGATGTTCGCCCCAGGAGGGGGAACCGCGTCAACGTAGGTGCCTGTGGACTTCCAGGAAGCCATCTCTGCATCCATAGCTGCCTGCCACTGAGAGGAGTAGGGACCCTCTACGGCCTCCGCGTAAGAACGCGGAGTCGGGATGTCTAGTGCATCCGGGTCTCCCTCAGGGGCAAGCAGTACAGACGCGAGATGAGGTGAAGCAGCCGCTAGACACTGTAACTCCTCCTGCCTGTCCTCTAGGACGTCCGTGCCAAGAGCACACTCACCCCCGACGGACGGAGGACAGACAGACGCAGACTCAGCAACAAGACTAGCAGCGTAGTCGAGACGACAGCGAGCAGCAAAGTCGACGAGCTCAGCGACTAGAGCAGACGCAGCAGTGGACTCAAAAGAGGGGTCAGTGACGACAGTAGCAAGCAGACGCGTGACAGTAGGACTGGCAGCACGAAGAGAGTCCGACTCAGGGTCGGCAAGCGCAGGAAGAGAGGACTCAGGAGGAGAAGGCAAAGGGGCACGCAGAGGAGCAGTGGACGGACGCAAAGACATCCGGTGCGTGCAAGGGACAGGAGGAGGACGCTGACGCGAACTGCGACCACTAGCGCGAGCAGCACGAACAGGCGACGCGGGACGAGACGCAGGCTCACGACGCTCAGCAAGACCTCCAGTAGGACCAGTGTAAGGAGAGGGAGCAGGCAGTGGAGAGGAAGGCTCCAGTAGGGACTGCGACTGGACAGGCGGTGGACCCTCTACTGGAGGAGAAAGACCAAGAACCTGCTGCAGGAGCGGAACGAAGTACGGCCGAGGCCGCGCGGCAGCTCCAGACTCAGCAGGGACAGCACCAGCACCCTCAGCGACAGCACCAGCGCCACCCACACCTCCAGCGGCAGGACCAACAGCAGTAGGCTCAGCACCAACGCCCTCAGCAGCTCCAGCTCCAGGAGGACCAGTAGGTCCAGCAGCTCCGGGACCGGCAGCACCCGCACCCTCAACGGTCGAAGAAGCTCCAGCTCCAGCTCCAGCAGCACCTCCAGACTCAGCA